AAACACACAGCTCGGGAGAGGCAGTGAGGCCGGGGAGACTGTACAGCGGGTAGGGTGTTAGCCTTGACGCAGATGACCTGGGTTCAAGTCCCGGGATTCCACAAGGTCCCCCAAGCCTGCCAGGCGTGATTCCTAAGTAACCAGGAATAAGCCAGGAGTAACTCCTGAGCACTGCCGGGTGTGACCCAAAATGCAAAAAAAGAAAGGGTGTCCAGAAACTGGGATTTCACTGGCCTGGGGTGAGCCCGGAACACCTGTATTTGTTTGTTTGTTTGTTTAATTGAATCACCAGGAATTACAAAGTTATTCATGATTGAGTTTCAGATGTACAATTTCCACCACATTCATTTCACTGCAATCTGATTCATTTCACTGCAATCTGATTTGACACATTCCCTTCCCTCCACCAGTACCCACCGTCTCGCCCACACCCCGGCCTGCTTCTCTGACAGGAACTTTTTCCTTATCCTCTTTTCCTACTACGCACTGTGGCTTACAGTGCCGTTACTGGGAGGGTTTCACGCATGTCACCTGACCTCCTTTCAGCACCCAGTCCTCGCCCACAGTACCCACGTCCCTGTCACAGGGGTCCCTTCCCTGACCTGTCCCCTCCCCCGCAGCACTGGCAAGCTTCCTACTAAGGACCAGTCCTCCTGCTCCTCGTTTCAACTGCTTTTGGGCGTTAGTTTTTCCCCTACTGTGTTTCTTTCCATCCCGCATGAGTGAGATCATTTATTCTGTGGACACTTGTATCCCTGTTCTTATTTGGGGGAACCACACGTGGCACTGCTCAGGGGCTACTTCTAGCTCTGTGCTCAGGAGTGACCCCTGGCAGAAGTCTGGGGACCGTGTGTGGTACCAGAAACTCCACCATCTATGGGGTGCAGGGATAGAATCTGTTTTGGTCACGTGCAAGGCAAATGCCCTACCCACTATACGACCCCTCCAGCCCCAGGGGTGCTTTTTATTATGTGAGATTAGATACCAACAAAAGACTACATGTAACCTCCAGTCGGTTGATCAGAATAATACTAAAAGGCCCCAGGACACCCCCTGAAATGAGGAAACTGTGGGTACTCCTGGTTCCCCACTCCCCCTCCCCCTGGGAGCTCTTTCTTCAGCGGAATCTGCACCCCCAGAAACCCAGCTAAATTTAGGCCTGGGGAGGGGGGAGGGGCCAGACTCCACTGTGTAGGGGTGGATGGGGGCCAGAGGGAGGGCGGGAGAAGGTCGTCTGGGGTGAGCGAGAGCCCGGAGACACGAGCGACACAGAGTCAGACGCCGCAGGGAAGCAGGCTTGCAACGGTCCTGGTGGCCACTGCCACTTGGACAATAGTTAGGGGGTGTGCTTCAAGGCCCCCCTTGGATCTGTAAGACAGGACCGAGAGGCGAACTTGATCTCCCCACCCCCAGGCTGATCCCCCAGAGCCCCTCCCTGGGGCTATTACTCTGCTCACAGCCAGACGCTCCAGCCAATCACCTGCCACCTTTCTTAGAAGGTTCTAAGTAGGTCGGCACTGGCCACCAGCACCTACAGCCCCTGTGAATAATTAAACCCGCTGCACCAGGACTCAGTACCGCAACGGGAGCTGCATGGAGGGGACGAGGAAGCCCCAAGAGTCAGCTGAGGGGCGTCCAGATATGGAAGGGAAGGGGTCAGGGCAGGACGCCTGTGGTTGGGAGGCCTGGGATGGGCCCGGACAGGGTCTACCACAGGAGACCGGGGCAGACCAACCTGAGGCCAGGGCGCAAGGCAGGTTATGGGGCCCCGCAGGGAAGGGAGAGAAGGGAGACCCATGGAGCTGGAACCATAGCACAGTGGAGGGCGCTGGCCTTGCGCACGGTCACGTGGGTTCGATCCCTGGCACCCCACATGGTCCCCTGAGCACTGCCAGGAGGGATCCCTGAGAGTAGAGCCAGGACTAAGCATCCCTGAGCATCCCTCTTTTGTTACCCAAAAGCCAACAAATAAATAAATAAAAAGGAAAAAAGAAAAGGCTAAAGAAAGAAGGAAGCTGTTGCGGCCATATCCACTGCCAGGGCAACTTGGGGTCTTTCAGTACACGAGTGCCCACATCTAGGACCCTGACGCAGGCCCAGGTGCCAGGGGTGGTCTCAGTCGGTTGCCACTGGCTGCATCTTGCCGTCTGCATCTTGCCTCCGAGTTTTCCAGAGCAGCTGGGGAGTTTCCCGGCTATAAAAAGCCCCAGTCTCCCGGGAGAGAACCTCCCTCCTGGCTAATGAGGCCCGACAGCCGGCCGCAGGGAGGGAGACAAAGAGGACAGGCCGGCAGACGGCACAGGGACAGTGTGGCAGCCAGCCCAGGACGGAAGGCCACCCTGGGCCGGGGCACGCGAGGGGCGGAGAGGCTCTGAACCAGAGCGTCACTCGCTGCCCGGAGAGTCTGAGGCAGCAGACGGCGGCGACATTCCGGGCAGGTCGCATGGATGGACCCCATGGCCCGCACCCCGCCTTGGGGACAGCCAGGCGGGAGAGTGCAGAGGCCAGGAGATGGGGTCCAGAGCGGGGACGTCCAGGTCAGTGCCCCCCCGCCCCTGGCCTCCGGAGAGAGGAGATCAGTGCCACGAGGACAGGCAGGTAGAGCAACGACACGATGACGGAGTCCCTCCAGCGGTGCAGATGAGACACAAAGCCAACCCGAGGGACCCGTCGACGACAGTCACCATGTCGCCAACGGGCCCGTGGCGGACACGGCAGAACCACAGACTCCGACACAGTTTCCATTCCTTATCACTGGTGTTGGGCAACGCCTGGCAGCGCTCAGGGCTCACTCCGGGCGGGGTTCAGAGGATCACCTTCGGGACCAGGGGCTGAACTGGGTCAGTCACTTAAAGCTGCGTCCTGACCCCACCCCTCCCCTGCACTATCCCTCTGGCCTGGGACTTTGACACTTTAAAATGGGGAGGAAGAAGCCAGGAGGAGACAGTATGGGTGAGGGTGAGGCATGCCCCCCAAACTAAGTCTGAGTTTCGGAACCACAGTGTCCCCTGAGCACCACAGGGCACCCCAGGAGTGCCCAGCACCACAGGGCCCGAGCTAAATGATGACCTCATTGGCCATGAATGGCCAGTGGGGCTCCCAGGGCCCCTGAACACTGCTAGGAGGTCCCTATGTTGAAAAATTGGGGGAAACTACCTGAGTTCGATCCCCAGCACCCCATATGGTCCCCGAGTCCCTCCAGCAGTGATTCCTGCGTGCAGAGCCAGGAGCAAGTCCTGAGCGCCACCGGGCATGGCCCCCAAAGAAGGGAGGGTGGGTAAAAATAAATAGAATAGGCAAGTATGTGAATTATAAATTACATCCCATTAAACTTGTAATTTTCCTTTGGGGAACAGGGGGTTTGGACACCAGCAGTGTTCAGGGATGAAACACGGGTCTCCGGCAGCCGAATCCCTGACGCTGAATTTGCTAATGTGATGATTCTTCAGACTCAGAAGTCAGTACTGTGGGGGGCAACCATCCCTGGGGGCACAGTGAGGGGCAGAGGGCGCGGGGGGAGCTCCTGGGTGCTGGGAAGGCCTGGAGGTCTCCATCCCGTGCTGGTCACAGGGAATATCTGATGGGAAAACTGGGGTTCATTCTTTTCTTTTAAATTTTTATTTTTGGTTTTTGAGCCACACCCGGCAAAACTCAGGCTCTGCAACCAGGAATTACTCCTGGCAGTGCTCGGGGGACCATCCAGGATGTCAGGGATCACACACACTTGGGTCACCAGGCAAGCGCTCTAACTGATGGACTATCTCTTCAGCATAAGAGGCCACGTCCTGCCAAGCGAATCTGAACAAGGGACTTGTGACCCTGAAGATGCCAGCCCAATCCCTGCGTCCTGAAATGGAAGCACCGCCGAGTGGAGACCATGGGCCAATGAGCCATTCACTCCTTCCTGGGCGGCGCTCAGACCCGCCTCGGGCCAGCCCTGGGAACACAAGGCCTGGTGAGAAATGCAGGAGGGTGACAGCCCCTGGGCAGGCTCTGGGCCTCCAGGGAGGGGAAAGCACCCACTGGCCGTGTCATTCCCTCCCAATTCATCCACTCTGCAGGTCTGAATGTGGGTATTTTGCATTAGGGGAAACAGCAACAGACACCAACTCGGAACTGCTCCATCTGTCCGGGGTGACTCCCTCCCTCTTTCAAGCTGTCTTTTAAGATTGCAAACAGGGCCAGAGGCTAGGACAGGGGGAAGGCAATTGTCCTTTATGTAGTCAATCCACAGTCATCCCTGAGCCAAACAAACAAACAGATAATAAAAATGAACAAGGGCTAAGGAAAGACAGGTTTGCCCGTGTCTCTCATTTCTGCCACTAAAACCACCCCGGAAAGGGCTTTTGTGCTTATTCGGGGGGCCATGCCTGGCTATGCCCAGGGCTTACTCCTGGCTCTGCCCCTGGCGGGGGGGGGGTGTTCAGGGACCCTATTTGGTGTTGGGGATCGAAGCAGAGTACGCTGCTTGTAGAATAAGCACTTCCCCCACTCTCCCAGCTCTCTCCGGTCTGCATTTATTTATTTATTTTCCACCATCCTCAGGGAATTAATTTCATTTATCATGCACAGAGGAGGCCAGCAAACCAAACTCCACATAACAAACGCCGGCAAACACTTCTCCCACCAGGTCTGTGACGCGTGACGTCAAAACAGAGCTGTCAAAGCAGGGCTGAGGCGGTGGCACAGTGGCAGAGCCTCTGCCTCGATGGGTTGAGGCCCTGGGCTCAATCCTGGGCACTGCAAAGTGATAAACACATCACATCAGGTCCCTGCCCAGGAGACGGCTAAGTGCGTTATGGAAGAAACGGCCCCTAGCCCACCATCGAGGAAACCTGGCCTGAAATCTCCTAGGTCAGTTGCCCCAATGCCTTTAGCCCGCCATCCCAGCCTTTCAGCCAGACAGCGGGGTTGGGGGGTACCCCCCCACTTCCCCTCCACTCATGCCCATGAGCCTCAGAAAGAGAAGGTCCAGGAGAGGCCCAGGGCGCGTGTGCTACCTTTGTGCCGTGGTAGAAGTCGTCCACGCACGTGGCATTCATGAAGGTCTGGTGGAAGTGGGTGCTGGTGTCGATGCCGCCAGGGATGACCAGCTTCCCGGTGGCGTCGATCACCTTGGCGCCACCGGGGATCATGAGCTCGCGGCCCACCTGCTGGATGATGCCATTCTCGATGTAGACGTCGGCCTCGTGGGTGCAGTCATCGTTCACCACCTTGCCCCCCTTGATGAGAATGCGCACGCTGGCGGAGTTGGCGAGCATGGTCCTGCGGGCGAGGGAGAGATGGGGCGGACGTCAGGGCCAGGGGCAGCCGGCAAGCAGGGGCCAGGGGAGGATGAACGTCCCCACCGCATGGGGACGAGGGTCCCCAGTCAGCCAGGATCCCAAGCCACCCCTTGACCTCACCACAGCCTTTCTGGCACTCAGGACACACTGGCAGGAAGCGGGAGGGAGCACAGATTGGGATTCAGCTGCCCCCAAAGCTGTCTGGGTTCTAAGGTGTCTTAATCTGTTCCCCCAAACAACCGGAGGGGACCTCTGTTGGCAGCACGCTCGAACTGCCGAGGAAGGAACTGGAGCTCAGGGGGTTGCATCGACCCTGACGCGTGTGCAGTGTCCACTCAACACTTGTTCCTGAAGGTGTCAGGGCCTCCTGGGCCGTGTCCCAGGTCTCCAAATCCTTCCAAGCTCACTCTCAGTGATGCAAAGTACCCCGGCTTTGCCCATTCTGCACCAAAGCCCCCTCCCCTCTCCAGTGACACGCGCTTTCAGCAGCTTTGGACAAGGGCGAGGTCTCTGGATTTGGAGACAAGACTGTGCAACCTTTTATGTGGCTGGCCCTGGTTTGATCCCTGGCACTTCAGGGTCCATTGAGCACCACTGGGTATGGCCCTAAAGATCCCCCAAACAATCCTCCCTCCATTAACGGGACCTGGCGGTCCTGTTCATTCCCGGCCTCACAGGGCTGGATCAACACCTCATCCTCAGGCCCTGGCATGGGACTGCAGACTGAGTTAGCCAAACATTGCCAGGAGGGGTGCTGGGACTCCTGATCACTGCTTGGCAGATAGGCTCCAGCCTCCTCCCCCCAATTTCCAGTTTAAATTTATTTTTGGTGATGCCAGGGAGCAAACTGAGGTTTCCTGCATGCAAGACATATACTTGACCATTGAGCCACCTCTCTGTTTTTTTTTTTTTTTCTGATGAGCTTTCAAATGATGCCTGGGCTCAAGCCCCACCCCAAAATTCAGATTGATTCTGAACTCTCGATTCAGAATCTAGAGAATTCTTATTACAGGCTTCAGAAGAATGAACACCCAGCTCTTTCCAAAAAGCAGGAGTGAAGGAAACCTTCCCAAGTCCTTTCATGAAGCTAATTCTACTCTAACATGAAAGCCAGATAAAAACTGCAAATAAAGAGCGCGAGAGTGTTTGCCTCATGAATGTAGATACAGATCAAGCAGCATCTGGCAAGGTGGAGAGGCTCAGAACCAAGCAAGAGGGATTGATTCCAGGGATGAAAGGCTGAGCCAGGAGCTGACAATCAGTCAATGAAATTCACTGTATTAATAGTCCACAGAATAAAAATCTTTCCTATAATTTCCTATGCAGAAAAAGCACTTGACAAAATTCATACCCAATTCATAACCAAAATGTCCAGAAAAGTAGGAATAGATGTTAATTTCTTCTTCTTGAAAGACAACAACAAAACCCTCCAGTTACCGTCAGAATTGATGGAGGCTAGAATGAGTTCCTTCCGAGATAGGGAGCCAGGCAAGGATGTTCACTCTTACCACTGACAACATCAGGAAAGGAATTAAAAGGCTTCTCAGGCTGGAGCGATAATACAGCGGGTAGGGCACTTGTCCTGCACGCAACCAACCCGGGTTCGATTCCTAGGATCCCATAAAGTCTCCCAAGCACCAACCCAGGTCTGATCCCTGAAATTCCATATGGTCCCCAAAGCACTGCCAGGAATGATCCCTGAGCACCGCCAATGATGGTCCCAAAACAATAAAAACAACAACAACAACAAAAAAAATGTTAGTTAAAAGGGACAAAAACTTGTCCCTTGAACTGACGAGACAGTGTAGTGGCTAGGGCACTTGTCCAGGAGGCCAACTTGGGTTCAACCCTGGCCCCACACAGGGTCCCTGGAGTCCTGAGCACTGCCAGGCATGGCCCCCAAACCAAAACCAACAGTCTGTCTCATTACCTTTAGTATTTTCTATACAGACCATTAGATCTGTATAGAAAATCCTAAAGAATCTACAAAAAAAATTCCTAGAACTGTCAATTCAGCAAGGTCACAGACACAAGAATAAAATTACCATTTTTTTTAAGTACTAGCAAAGAGTGTATGTGGGAAGCTGGGAAAGTGGGGTGAGGGGAGCCCAGATCACAGAGGCTGAAACATGGAATTTCTCCTGAGGCACAAGTCTAAGCCAACACAGACTGAAGCTGCAGGCAGAAGACTACAAAACGCTGCGAGGAATTCGTCATAGCTTGAAGCAAGCAGAGAGACACACACCACTTTCGTGAACTGCAAGAGCTAAACTGCCCCAAGCTGACACACACGGGACCTATCGGAGTCTCAGTGACACTTTCACAGAGGCAAGTTAACTGTCAAAGTGGATGTGTCAGGGCAAGGAAACAAGAAGAGCCACCACAATTTTGACCAAGAATAAATAAATAAAATGGAAGAATCCTGCTCTCTGCCAGCATTCTGGGATAGGAGGCGCCCAACCAGTGAATCAAAAAATTGGGCACTCCTTGGGAATAAATCCCAGAGAGGCAAAAAAGTATAGCCGAAGTGACATCTGCACTTGTTTGTTCATTGCAGCACTCTTTACAACAGCCAGAATCTGGAAAAAACCTGAATGCCCGAGAGCAGATGACTGGTTAAAGAAACTTTGGTACATTTACACAATGGAGTACTATGTAGCTGTTAGAAAAGATGAAGTCATGAAATTTACATACAAGTGGTACTACATGGAAAGTATCATGTTAAGCAAAATGGGTCAGAAAGAGCGGGATAGACACAGAAAGATTGATTCATCTGGGGAACATAAGGCAACAAAAAGGGAGACTAACACCCAGGAGTGGCCGAGATTAGTACCAGGAATTCTGCTCCATGACTTGGAGGCCAGCCACATATACTAGGGGAAAAGGAAGCTCAGATAGAGAAGGGAGCACCAAATAAAGGGTGTTGGGAGGATCCTCCCAGGGTGGGAGAATCATGCTGAAAGTAGACTATAGACCAAACATGATTGCCACTCAATGCCTCTCTTGCAAACCAGAGCACCCAAAAGGAGAGAGAGAGAACAAGGGGGAATGCCCTGCCACAGAGGCAAGGTGGGAAGGGGGTGATGGGGGATGGGAGGGATGCTGGGACCCGTGGTGGTGGAGGATGGGCGCTGGTGGAGGGATGGGTACTTGATCATCGTGTGACTGAAACCCAAGCACAAAAATTTGTAAGTCTATAACTGTACCTCATGGTGTTTCACTAAAAAAAAAAAAAAAAACTGGGCTGCGGAGACAATACAGGGTCGAAAGCAGTGGCCCTGCATGTAGCCATGCTGGTTTGAATCCCCAACACCACAAAGCGTCCCCTGCATGCTGCCTGGAGTGACCCTGAGCATGGCTGGGCGTCAGATGCCCCTTCTCTCCTATACTAAAGAAACACAATCAAAATGGTTAAGGTGACGGGCAGGAATCCAATTCCACATTTTTTTTTTCTGGGATTGCTGGCAAAACTTGGCCCCCTTCCGTGCTTTTTTTCTGAGACAACAAATCTCTCTCTCTCTCTCTCTCTCTCTCTCTCTCTCTCTCTTGCTTTTTGGGTCACACCTGGCAATGCACAGGAGTTACTCCTGGCTCATGCATGCAGGAATTACTCCTGACAATGCTCAGGGGACCATATGGGATGCTGGGAATCGAACCCTGGTCAGCCGCATGCAAGGCAAATGCCCTACCCGCTGTGCTATTGCTTCAGCTCCACAACAAATCTCCCTTAAGGGTGCTTGATATCTTTTTCTCATCTGCATCATTACATTCCGTCCGCCCTCGGCAGTACGGGAAGGTTCTGTGATGACAAAAAGGCCCCAGAATCACTAAAGGCAGAGCTCTCCCTTAAGGGGGGGGGGGGTACCACACCCTGCAGGGCTACTCCTGGCTCTGTGCTCACTGGCGGTCCTATCTTTTGGACAGAAGCGAGCTTGGTGCCTGCGCACAGATCCTGCTGCTGGGTTGGCCACCTGCCAAGGTGAGTAGCCGGGGTGCGAGGCAGTGGCCGCTGCATCCTCCACTGAGTCCACTGCGCATACTGGACCTGCTACCCTTCAGGAGCCTCAGGTGCTGGGAACAGGCCTGGTGGCCGGGAGTGGGTCGGCACCGCCCCTGAGAGTCGCATGGGAAGGCAGTTCCTGTGGAGTTCTGCTCCCTGAAGGGGCACTCCAGGTCCTGGTGGGGAGCAGTGGGGGACCCCCATCACAGCCTATTGTCTGAAGCAGGAGGGAAAGGGCACATGTGTCAGGACATCTTTGTCCTCAGCCCTGACGACACAATGACCAGGAAATGAGTTTAGTTCTCAGGGGAGGGACGCGGGTGCTGGGGCCAGAGGAAGCCTGAGCAGCCCCCAAGGTGCAGGGTCTCTCCCAGGACAAGGCCGGGGGCCTGCGCGCCCACGGAAGAGGGAACGGGGGGCCTGAGGGAGCTGCACGTCTGGGCCTCGCACAAACACGCGCCTTTTCAAAGGAACCTGACTCATCTGCACATTGCTTCACTGGTCTTTGGGCCACAGCCAGCAGTGCTCAGGAGCTGCTCCCAGCTCAGTGCTCACGGGTCATTTCTGCTGGTTCTTGGGGGACTGTGTGTGTGCTGGAAGTAGAACCCAGGCCTCCTGCACACGAAGCCTGTGCTCAGCTTTTCAGAATCCCTCCAGACCTTCAAGCTTTGAGGGGGGAATTGGGAATATAATCCCATTTTCCTAATTCGCTGTGTGGTCATCTGGAAATGTTGATACCAGCGCTTGCCTATTAATCCAGACCATCGGGAATCCAGGTCATGGGAGCGAACGGGGCTTCCTGGGGTTATTCCTGTCCAAGTTTTGTTGCTGGAATTCAAAGTTAAAAATGTCTTTTTCAGAGGCCGGAGAGATAGTACAGTGGGGAGAGGGCATTTGCCATGCACAAGGCCAATCCAGGTTCGGTCCCTAGCATCCCACACAGACCCCCCCGGGAGCACTGCCAGGAAGTAATTCCTGAG